TTGGACTTCAGTACTATGAGTTCTTGATTATATGTTACCTTGAAATCACTGAGCATCAACCAGTTCTTTTTGGTATAATGATTGCATATTCCTTTCATCTTCTTTTGATTCTTTCTGCATCCTTTAATATTTTGCCCATAGAATCCTTCAATACTACAAGTCAAGGCTTGAAATTTTTCCTCTTTTCTTTCAGCTTGAGAAATACTGAGAGTGTTCTTCCCTTTTAGTTTTCTAGCTCCAGGTCTTAGCACATTTCATTATAATACTTTGTCTTCTTGAGCTGCCCAAATTTTCTGCCCAGTTCTTTTACTTCCTCATTTCATCCATGTGCTTTAACATGTCTATGCTGGAGAGCAAGTTTTACAGTCTCTTCTGACAGCCATTTTCGTCTTGTCTTTCTTTCCTGTCTTATTAATGACCTTTTGTTTTCTTCTTGTATGATGTTCCAGATGTCATTCCACAACTCTTCTGATCTTGGATCATTAATATCTAATGCATCAAACCTGTTCCTGAGATGGTCTCTAAATTCCAGTGGGATCTATTTAAGGTCATATTTTGATTCTTGTGGATTTGTTTTTAATTTTCTTCAGCTTTAGCCTGAATTTGCATATGAGCAGTTGATGGCTTGTTCTTAAGTCAGCCCCTGTCTTTGTTTTGGCTGGTGATATTAAGCCTCTCCATCATTTTTTCCCACAAATGTAGTCAGTTTGAATCCTGTGTATCCCATATGATGAAGTTCACATATATAGATGCCATTTATGTTCTTGAAAGACGATTTTTGAAATGAATAAGTTGTTGGTTTTGCAAAATTCTACCATGGTCATTTTCTATCACCGTGGCCATATTTTTCTAACTACTGAGCCATCCTCTTAGTTTACAACTTTCCAATCACCAGTAATTAAATGCATCTTGATTACATGTCTTATTGATTTCAGGCTGAAGAAATTGGTAGAATTCTTCAGTTTCATCTAACTGGCTTTAGTGGATGGTGCGTAAATTGAATAATAGTAGTATTAGCTGATCTTCCATGTTGTTGTTGTTAAGGGCCAGCAAGTCGATTCCAACCCATAGTGACCCTATATAGGGTTTCCAAGGAGTGATTGGTGAGCTTGAACTGCCGACCTTGCAATTCAAATGACTTTGCAGTCCAGCACATTAACCCACAGTGCCACACCAGGACACCCATCTTCCATGTAGTTGTATGGAAATTTATCTAATCACACACAGTATTATTGTATTTCAAAATAGATCTTGAAATGCTCTTTTTTACAATGAATATGATGCCATTCCGCTTTCATTTTTATATATGTGAGAGTCTTGATGTGGCACTGTGGGATAAGTGCTGGACTGCTAACCACAAGGTTGGCAGTTCAAACCCAATAGCTGCTCCTTGGAAACCTACATGATCACTAAGAGTCAGAACCCAATCGATGGCACTTAACACCAACAATATAAACATTGGCTCTATAGGATAAGCATGACTGAGAATCACAAGGTTGGCGTTTCAAACCTACCAAGCTCTTCTGCAAGAGAAAGATGAGGCTTACTACTCCCAAAAGATTTGCAGTCTCGGAAACCCTATTAAGAGTTTACTGTGAGTTTAAATCAGAAAAGCTTGAAAACCAGGAATTGAAGTCCTACTTGGTACTCCACGGGCCATGAAGTACTAAGTGTATGGTATTCCTGTAACTTAAGAAACTGGTGTATATCCATTTAGTTATCTTTCGGATGGGAGACAGATTTTCAGAAGTGCCCTCCATCTGTAAAGTATGCCATGCTTTTTCCCTTCTCTTGTCTTTTCCCATCTGTCTCCTGGCTGTCAGTAAGACCATCTTCAGCTACCTCAGTGTTTTCAGAACCAGAGGGCTACAGAATTTTTTTCTGGGAATTGTCTAGGTTAATGTCAGTCCAGCAGTAGCGTTTGCTCTGACCCAAATGTGATGGCTCACCAATAAATTTGTTTCTCATGCAAGCAGAGGTTTCTTTTGTTCCTTCTAGGACCTGGTTCCAGTTTCCATTATATCTCAAGAGGTTAATGATCTCTGTAAGAACACTAACCTCTTTAAAACTAAGTGGATAAGATTCAGCCTAGTGAAAAGAGCTTGTACATTAAGAATCAGACAGTCCTGTAAACCTGAATCTGGATGCCACCATTTACATGCTTCATGTGTGACCTTAAATAGTCTCGAAACTGCTACTACTGTTGTTATTACTGTTACCACCATTACAACATGTACTGCTACTAGCTGTTCTGGAAGACGCTTCATAATTTATCTAATGTTCCAATCCAACCAAATGACATAACTCACAGAAACCCCCAGTCCGTTAGAGAAGAAGATGAAAGTATAAAAGCCATAAAAATGTGTCCATTTGCCTATTTTTTAAGCATTACAGACCCTCTTAAGGATCATAACTAGCTTTGAATTGAATTCCTTTAAGGGGACATAAATATGCAGATGAAATCTCATTTTTTTCTTTATTAAAAAAAAAGTAAAGATTCATTCTTAATCATTTTTCCCTTTGGAATGTAATTAAAAGGCAGTGAGGCTGGCCTTGGTACAAAGTGCACAGATGCAATTCTGCAGAAAATGTGTCTTTGGCAGATGAGATTCTTCCTGTGAATGTTCTGTTTATTGCTACCATAAATATTCTATTGTCAAAACATGACTTGCTGTTTATTAACAGCACTGACAGGAAGATTCCGATTAATGGCAGCATTCGTATTGCCCATAGACTCTGTCACTTTTAACTTTGCAATTTTAAGAGAATTGCATTTGGTAATTACTTAAGATATTTCTTAGTGTATTGATCTCCACTCCTGTTTAACTGAGTGAAATTTGAGTGGCAGTTCTTCTGCACAGTGATTGACGCGGGCTCAAATCATCACAGCTGCATCTTTTGTAGGCAGGGAAGGGCTCTCAGCCGTATCTTGTTGACGTTCAGCCTGTTAGAAAGACACAGTGCTTTGAGTAGTTGCTCAGAATAAAAAGGCATAGATTCAGGCCCTGCCCTTAGAAAGTTTACAATCCAATACGGAAGTGAGCCAAGTGCATATTCTCAATATGCAACTAAAACGGTCAATTTGGAGTCAAAGGGGCTTAGATCTAAATCATACTAATTGTTTGTCTTTTGAAAGTTTGTTTTTTTATTAGTTTGATATCAATCTGAAATTCTAAGTGATATCACCTATCTCATGAAATTATGAGATATTAACCTTACAGGTGGTGAACACTCCATAAATGTTAAATTTCCGTATCGTCATGTCTTCCTCCATGATTTATAATTGGCAAAGACATTTTCACCATCTGATCCTTAAAATAGCCCTCTGGGATAGCTTAGGCATAGATTTCCTCATTTGTCAGAAAGGGAAACTAAGTCTTAGAGGCACTGAGTGTATTACTCAGACTCGACCAGCTGATTGAATGGTACAGTCAAACCTAGAACTCAGGTTTCCTAACTCATGTTACAATGTGTTTTCCACTCTTTCACACCCACACCTAAGTGACTGGAATTTAAAATTAGGCTTCTCAGTACCACTCTATAGAGACACATTCAGCGTTCTATATTTGGAGATGATGTGGAGGAAAGGAAAGCAGCCATTGTTTCCTCTGGAACATAAATAGAGCCATATAAGATTGGTATTGCTTGCAAGGAACGCAAGAATAACCCTGGATAGCAGAGGTGGGGAACATGTGGCCCGCTGGCTGAATGTTGTTGTTGTTGTTAAGTGCTGTCGAGTCACTTCTGAACCATAGTGAGACTGTGTGGGGTTTCCAAGGAGCAGCTGTTGAGCTTGAACCACCAACCTTGCAGTTCAAACAACTTTGCAGTCTGGTGCATTTGCACAGTGCCATATCAGGACTCCACTGGCCGTATAAGGCCTGAGAAATCATTTAGTGTGACCCTGCCAAGGCAACCACAGCTCCAGCCATCACATTAAGTACAGGTGAGTTAATTAAATGTCTGACCAAATCTAGCAACTGAATTTTTAAGTTGATAATTTTGTATGGCCTGCGATTGATATAAATATCCAAATGGCCCTTGGCAGAAAAAGGTTCCCCACCCCTGATGGCCAGGAGATGCCCTAGCCACAGTAAAAAATACAAGCAAAGTCAGAGAAGAGGGTTATTTGCAGACTAAGTGGATGTTCTTAAAGTCTTTCTCTGATGGCAGCATTTCTGTGGGAGAAATGATGTAGGCATTTGTGATTGTATTCATGATTTGTCAACTTTACTCTCATTCTGAACTATTCAGGTGATGTGATACAGTAAAAAGAGCGTCAAATCTCAGTTCATATCTCAGTACTATCAATCCATAGCTGTGTCATCTTGGGCAAGCAACTTAATGTCTCTGGGCTTCTGGTTCCTTATCTATAGACTAGATATAATAAGTTATATGTAACATGTAATTATGAAGACAAGGTGATATTGTATATATAAAATGTCTTGCACATAGTAGGGACTTTAGAAATACTTGCTTCTTTTAAGTCTGTAACAGTACTTAACGACATGTAATCTGCTGTATCCTCCTAATTATATTCGGATCTTCCCCATCTAAAGCAGAATTTCCTGAGAGTTCTACTAACTGAGCTTGTGGTTTCTTTAAATTGAATAATTTTCTTGTTAGACGATGATGGGTCTTTTATAATTATTTTATTATGAAGTAACTTTAAGTAAAAAGAAATTCTTAAGTTACACCCAAAATGTAAAAAGGGTCAGTTTTAATTTTCCACTATCAAGACTTTAATTCTAAAGGAGCCCTTATCTTAATTATAAAATTCATTCTTCCTCTCCATAACTAGAATATGTATAAGATATGAAAAGTAATTGCACTGTTTAATAATGGATTAACAGAATAAAAGACATTTCTGTAGGTATATTCTTTAGAAATAGTATTCTTCTTAAATAGAAATGGATGCCCTTATAGTTCAGTATTATTTTGTGATTTATTACCTATTGATAAAACAATTATATTTCCCTAGATTCCTTAACTTCCATTACCTATATCCTTTTAAAAAAACTTGTGAAGATAGATGCCGTGAAATTCATGCTAAAGAACCACACAGTAAGTGTCATTTCTGTAGTTTTCATGACTAGACTGTTCCTGACAGTGTAGATAAGGCATTAGTAACTGTGGATACTCTTTTGCTTTCACTAGAGTGAACACTTCCCCTTTCTTGGCATCAGTGAATGTTACAGTCTCAGTGACTTCAGGTGCCGAACAACCTTCTACACAGCCCTCACCCGCCTTCTGATGGTAGATCTAGGTAAGGTTAAGACTTTAAGCTGAATTAATAAGGGATCAATAATATACTTCTATGACTAAAGTAAAATGAGCTTAATAAGGGACCAACAATTTACTTGTGTGAATAAAGAAGTAGGATACTAGTGAGTACAATACTTCATTTACTAGAATTTACCATTCTTGACAGTTTTCTACACCTTTCTAAGATTTGAATCTATACTCATTAGCATCATAGACAAAACAAAACAAAAAAATCCATGTCATGTTTCTCTTCAGTTAATACTCGCTCTGATTCTTTACCTGAAAATTTCTATTAGGGGAGTGGGAGAAATAAATCAAAAAAGGCTGAAATTAAATTCTTCAAACTTGTTTTATGTTTATTGAGTAATATTCCCAGCCAACCAAAATAGTACAACCCAGACAAAAACTCCAGTTCCTTAGAGAAGAATAAGATGAAAGTATAAAGATCATAAAGATGGTATGTCCATTTGCTCTGGTAATTTTTCCCCATTTCTGGCTAGTTTATGTTTTACTCTAATGTATTACTTTTCTAATGGGAAAAATAAACTTATCTGTTACTTTTTTCCATAAGGAGTATAAGGAAGTTAACCAGAAGGCTTTGAGGTACACAGTACTTCAGCATGAGCACTTAATCCAGCCTGTGGTGACCACGTCACTCTGGGTCCCCATTTCCTACTTTCTGCCGCCTGAATTTGAATACTGCAACTGAAATTAATCAGTTGTAGACCTATGAGAGGATTCAATCAATGGCAATGTCATCCTTAGAGAATATAAAACTGATGATACTTTTTTGTTCCTTTCTCTTATAATATATTGATTGATCAATCAACATAAATATGAATTTTTAAAAACATGATCATACAAAAGGAAATGATATAAATAACTTTATTTTGCCCATAAAATGCATTTAACCTTGGGCTGCGAAGGTGACTAACCCCTCTCTGCAATAAATTGCCAGGTAGACAAACAGCCAGAAGTTGAGAACAATGCAACTAGAATGATTAAGGAGCTTAGTGGGATTGATTTCTAAGGAAAGATTAAAAGAACCATATATGTAGAACTTGGCTAAGTGACAACTAGGGCTGGAGGCAAAGAGAGCTGTCTATAAATATTTGAAGAGTGTAAACCAGGCATGCAAAACCCACTCATCAGCTACCTTAGGCAAGTGAGAGATCTAACCAAGCGACAGTTTTTGCATACTACACATTGGCCTATGTTACCTCTCATCTGCTGGCTTGGGGAGACAAGGAGTGGACCCAGACACATTGCCACTGTCCTCAATAATCATTTAGTGAGCACACCATGCTGAGCTCTGATGACAAGACAAAGATAATTTAGGCATACTGGCCCCTGCCCTCAAGGAGTTTGTCTTCTTGCGCTCTCACTTGTCCAAACATGAAAGAAGAAGCTTGAAAAACTTGTTTAGACATAGTATATTCTCCATGTTCTAAAAATGCTCTTTCAATGACCTTGTGAGAAAAATAAGTTGCGGGGGAGGCAGGGGGACCAAAGTTACAGGAAATACCTGGAGGAGAGGACCTGGGACTGGAACAGGTCACCGTTTCCTGTAGTCATCCTGGACAGAAGAATATATCTATATCTGCAGCAGCTGAAACAGTAGGACAAAGACACCTGGTGACACTGGGGAGTAAGCATTGGACTGTTGACCGCAAGGTTGGTGGTTCAAACCCACCAACTGTTCAGCAGGGAAAAGAGGAGGTTGTCTGCTCCCTTAGAGATTTATGGTCTCAGAAATCCTACATGGTGTCACTATGCATCAGAGGTGACTCACCGGCAGTGGATTTGGTTTGCTTGTAAACAGGATGGCCTTTCAGAGCCCAGATTCCATTTACAGCACTACTGTACTTGTTGTTTAATTAATTGATAGTTGATATGTGGTGCCCAGAAAGGCCCTACATAACACACTTTCTTTTTGAAAACATGTTTATTTTTATTTAGTGCTGTTTGTTAAGTGCTGTCGAGTCGGTTCCGACTCGTAGCGACCCTGTATAGTGCTTCTAAAGAGTGGCTGGTGAGTTTGAACCGCTGACCTTGTGGTTCAAACTGATCTTGCGGTCTAGTGTTCAGCCCACAGCACCACACCAGAACTCCAAATACATTACATATTCCATATTACATGTTTAATTATAAAATTAAATGGAGTCCTATTGTGGCGCTGGGGGTTATTGCACTTGACCACAAGGTCGGTTTGAACTGCAAGGTTGGCAGTTCAAACTCAACAGCCACTCCTGGGAAACCCTATATACAGGGTTGCTATAAATTGGTACTGACTCGATGGCACTCAACAACAACAACATTAAGTAACTTAATGTTACTTAATTACTTAAATATTATTTAAGTAATTAAGTATTAATTACTTAATGTAAACATGATAGCTTTCTAGGATAAGCACTAGACTGCTCACCACAAGGCCTGCAGTTCAACCCCACTAGCTGTCCTATAGCAGAAAGATGAGGCCTTCTGTTCCCATAAAGTTTATAGCCTTAGACACCTTATACAGGGTTGATATGAGTCAGAACTGACTCAACACCACTAACAACAACAACAACAATGTAAGTTGTGAGGCACAAGAAACTGAAGTAAACATAAATCATTTGAATAATAAATAGGCACTGTAGGATAAGCATTCATCCACAAGGTCAGTTTGAGCCACAGAGTTGGCAGTTCAAACTCACCAGCTGTTCCTCAGAAACCCTAAAGTAATTATGTTTCCACTACAAACATATTTTTAAAAAGGTGATGGCTTACGTGGTCATGCATGTTACACAGTAGGTGTTGAGGATAAATAAATTGAATCTGGATGTGGAACTTTTACATTGTTTGAAAAAAATTTTTTTTGTTTATCACTGGCTTCCTTTTTAAAAATAATTATGTACATATTATAAGCATCAAGTGATGATCTGTGGTATGTATTACCAGAGCTTTTTTCCCTTGTTAAGAATCTGAGTTGCTCTTCCTGCCAAAATATGTTGAGCTCTTTTAGGATGTGGGCTTGTCTTTTTCATGTTTTTCTAGCACCAGGCTCAGTATCTTGACATTGTAGATGCTCAGTAAATACTTGTTGAATGAATGACAGTCAAGTATACTGTAAACACGATGCCATCATTGTGACTCATGGAATCAGCTCTGCCTGCCAGGCTCTCTCTGGAAGTAGCTTGATCATTGGCCTCTGGAAGACAAAACAAATCAAGTGGCTGATTACTTTCACAAGTGATTAGCTACTCTTGGCCAGTCTTGTGCTAGATTAGCCGCTTGTTGCTCTCTGTTCAAAGTGTGTTACTTTAAAGACAATCATTTGTTGAGTGTTATTGAACACAGTTTCTGTTATTTGAAACCTTGTCTCACAAACTAGGTTGACGGGAACGTTGCTGTCAGAATTGCTGTATATATGACTTTATAGTTTTCTATTGTGTGTTCACTGTCATGGAAACGAGGAAGAAGGAGATAGTACTGTTGTCAAGAGATGCACAGATCTCTGTATTAAATAAAAGAAATAAAAATTTTAGATAATGAGCATCCTCAAATTAAAGACAAATTTGAGGGGGACTTTTATATCACTGATGGTGGGGATAAGGGGCTGGGGAGGCAGGTGTTAGGAATCAAACAGAAAAACCATCTGATCTACCTGCTTACAAAGCATTGGATGTGATTGTTGGATTGAAACATAAAGCATATTCTAATTGATTCCTGCAAAATAAACAGAATATATTTTGTGGATAAGCCATGCCTATTGGAGTGATTCGAAAGGGGAAAGAAATTGGTGTCACATTAATTGGTATCTACTTTGAAATGCATTTTGGTTTCTATTCAATAATTTGTACTTCATATGAATTTAATTAGATGCTGTGTGCCCCAGGTTGTATTTCAGATGAAAATGGGGATTTGGCACAATAAACAGTTGTATCATTTGATCAAATTGCTCCTTGGCTAAACAAAACAAAATGTTCACTTTTATAAAGAATAGAATTGAAAGCATTTCATCATCAGAATATTTCCTTTTTCAAGTCATATAGAAAGCATTTTTTAAGCCCACTTTGCCTTTGAATCAATTCCAACTCAGTGACTCCAGAGAACAATTAGAACTGGCCCATCTTTATGGATTGGAGCAGTTGGTAGGTTTGAATCTGTTAGCAGCTGAGTGCTTAACCACTGCACCAACCAGGACTCCTTAAGGAATCACCAGTGTTCTTAAGGGCCATTGAGTTGGTCCTGACTCATAGCGATTCTATGTAGGGTTTCCAAGGAGCAGCTGGTAGGATTGAACCATTGACATTGTGGCTAGCAGGCTAATACTAACCCAACAACAACAACATGAAATAAAACATATTGTACACATGCAGAAAGAAGAGCAGAAGAAAACAGATGACTAATCATATGTGCATGCATATTAGCCCTTCCAAGGCTCACTGAAAGTTACCTAGGTTGTTTAAGTTAACTTTGTCAAACTAATAAACTAAAGAAAATATAGTATTGCCCAAGCCAGTCAATGGAGAACCTCTAGGGAGCTGTTTAGTATAACATCCATGAATAACTAAAAATCCACTTTTTTTGTTTAATTTGAAGTGAATACAGTTGACAAATATCAGAGAAGGGAAGTATGGAAAAGAGCTGTGACAAAGCTTATCAATTTGTGGAGAACCAAATATCATTAGTTGCAAATTAAGGGTTTTTTTTTACCAGCAACTAAAATTGCTCAGTGTTACTAACAGTTGTTTTCCCTGGAACATTCTTGATTATGCAAAAGGGCTTCAAAAAGTTTGTGAAGGTGTAAGAATAAGGAAGTAAATGTTGTCTTTTCAATAAATAGTGTGTAAAACTCCAAAATAAAATTTTGTGTGGAAATATTCCATTATCTTTTCATTCCATTTTCTACAAATGAAGCTCCCTTGTATGGAACCACTATGATTAGAAGAAGCCTATAGACTGGATTTGTGTGAACCGTGCTTTCCTCAGATATGCAAACTCTTTAAAAAGCAGTCA